CGGTTATTGTTTGGAGGGAGAGTCCCCCTCCCTACAGGAAGCCATGACCACGTGTCATGGCAGGGAAAATGGCTGCGGATCCTGTTCGTCACCTGATGCGGAGTTTGTGAACAGAAGCAAAATTTTGCAAACGGTGCTGTTCGTGACCCGAATTGGTCGTGAACAGAAGCGTTCATGACCCGAGGTACCACTGTATATGTAAACCAATTATGCTCAAAAACAGTTATCCAAATACTGAAAATAACAAATACGTAATCTAGTAATGTAAATGCTTTATTAATCCATTAAATTGGTAACAAGACAATACCCTTTTTAAGGTATAATAATTGTAGGTCATGAGATTTGTGGATGTTAAATGTTTTTGGAGTCTAGAAGTCATGAATTACTTTGTTACATACATTATTGAACGAAAAACTAAATTTTAGTTAGTGGTTGGTGGAAATAAAGTTGTAAGTTTTTCCCCATGGACAAAAGTTCATAGACCCTCAAGCGATCTGTGGATATCACGTTAAGAACCCATGTTGGAGACTCAAGTGACAACTTTCTAACACTGCTGAAGCCCAAAAGCATTTTGGGAACACACCCTTTTTGTAGTTGGAAGGAGCTTAAGCCTAACTGTTCTAAACTTCATCTTATGGTCATAACCATGACAGTGTTGTTGATTATAAAAGTCTTAATATTCAACCTAATTAACAAGGTACCACATAAACAATTATTAAGGGGAGTGAGCAGTTCTTGGCCCAGCTTCGCCCTTGCTTAATCTTTGTTTTAAAACAGAGTGATCTTGATTCCAAGGCTACAGAAAGATAGCAAAGGATGGAAGTGTATCTGCAGCTAAGAGATTAAGGGCATTTGGCAGAAGTAGCTTTTGTAGGCATTAGGCTACTTAACATGTCATTGCAATAGTTAGTTATCCATTGTTAATCATGCATTATTTTATGGGTGTTTGCTATGCCTAAACTTTTATGATTAAGCCTCCATCTGTTTAAGATTACTGACGTGTTTGAATTAATAAGTAATCTTTTAAGAGGGACCGACAACTACTAACTTTTCTACCAAGGTCTTTAAAGTGCAAGTTAGTTTGGTAGTTAAAAAGCCTTTCTGTTTATTTTATAACGTATTTGTCATGACAATTTTCTGATAAATGAAATTGCATCTAAAAATAGAATTTATTTGCTTCAGGCTAAATGTAATGTCTGATAGTCACTAAAGTTTTTATGTGCACAGACTTTCTAGTCCAACAATTAGATGTGTGGAGAAGTGTTAGTAGTTCTTTAAAAAAGCAGTTGACAAAATGTGAACATAGTGTATCAGAATGGGTTTACAAATGAGGGTGATTCAAAACATTGGCATAGGTAGTGGGTTGGCACTAGTTGCTTGCATTCAAAAAGAGGTTTATAGAAGGCAAATTGAATAATGTTATTTCCAGTAATTATATAGATGAATGATAGCAAGTTCATAAAATGATAGTAATGATAGTAAGTTCATACAAACCTAAATAGTTTCTTCAAGATTCTTGACATTGCTTCTTCCCAACAATAAATGCAATGATTGGTATACACACTAATCCAAGATCTTTCAAAATATAATGAAGAAAACTCCCACATCCATATTTTAATGCATGCATTTGATTTCATGCTTTCCCCCAACGCTATATAGAATTTCAGCTATGCGTATTTAATGCAGTAGTCGCCTGAGTAAAGTTTTCGCAAATGCTTAGTGCCATCTGTTGGTAAAAGTCAACATTACCCTGAGATAGCCATTTTATTATATTTATTAAATGGTTATGGAAGAGGGAGGTTTTCATATTACGATTTCAAACTTAAACGACAGCAACGTTTCGGTTTTTAAATTTTAAGCAACGGAGTGAAAGAGTTGAAAAAAAATCTTGTCCTCATCTGATTCTAGTTTTTGTTTAGCCTTAGCATTCCACTCTCCGATAATAGTTTAGGAATGCGGGGGGGTGGGGGATACAAGGAATGCACAGCGCAACCTTCACAATATTTGCCGAGGAGTAAACCGTGAGTTCGTTACGGCTTGTTACGCGAGCTTGGCTGATCTTAAAAAACTTGAGCAGGACAAAGCCGGTGAGGATTTGAATGGGAGAACTCAGAAAACGCTTGGGCTCGAATGGGAAGTCGAAAAAAACTTATCGGAAGAAGGCAGCGACAAATGACCTCGTGTTTCTGCCAAGAAACTGTCTGGAGGTCTACCTTTATTTCTGGGCACGGTAAATGTGCGTGTGTCTCTGAACGTGTGCACACAGGCACACAGATTCATCCTAGCCGCTTTTTCCATCCTAGTTTCTCGTAGCAAAATTCTTCCTTCGGCGTTAAGGAGCAGCACAGGAAAGAAAGAAGAAATTACAGTTCCGCTTGCGGTTGCAAAGCTGGCACTACAGTACACGTTCGTTTCACGTCCCGATTAATTAGCAGCCGCTCTGTCAGAACTACATCTCCCAGCAGGAAGCGCAGTGAATACGTCACATTTCTGACGTCATAACATGGCGCTGGCTGGATGAGCGGCGCTTTGTTTTCGAGCACTCTTCCCTGCCCCTTCTAGGGTTCCGGTGGTTTTGTCCTACTTTTCCTCACGTATTTTACTCAAGAAGCGTATCTTCTTCGCTTTACTCAAACTAAGGTTCGTCGACTTTTCGCCCTGCGTGGTGGGAATTCTTTTTAGCAGAAGTCTCGCCCGTGTGAATCTGGTTTCGGTGTCGGGGTTACTAGTGAGGAAGGCAGCAGGAGCGATTACGCAATGCCAATAATACTTTACAGCAGGGTTCCTCGACCTTGGCCGCTTGAAAATGTGTGGACTTCAACTCGCAGAATTGCCCAGCCACCCATGCTGGCTGGAGAATTCTGGGAGTTGAAGTCCACACATCTTCAAGCGGCCAAGGTCGAGGAACCCTGCTTTACAGAATAATAACAAAAAATAAAAACAAAAACCCTGTGTCTAGAAGAAAATTGCAGTGGGGAATTTGTCTCAGGAGACCTGATACAGAGGAGAAATGAAAAGTGCAAGCCAGGTTAGTTAGGGGAATATATCTGCTTAGTTAAGGCAAGGTGCTTAAAATAATTGGAGTTGGGACTGAGAAAGGTTGGCCTTCAAAATGACATTTGACAGTATTTCCAAGACTATCTGAAAAATTGCCTCACCAGCGCTTCAATGGTGCGAGATCTCTTATTTGTCCTTAGAAAAAAGCATCATCCTCTTAGCTAATTCTGTATTAATAATGGACAGACCAGTGCTAATTCAGGATTAATTAAAAAGAAAAAAGAAACTTCAAAACCTTCCACAATTTTGTAACTGGTTTGAACTTTTTCTACTTGTCAGATGCCACCTTGTTGAGGAAATGGAGTTAGAGTGAATTTTTAAAATTAAAACTGGTAGAATTTTACTTTTACATGTGAACATTAATGCTAATTAGCTAATGTAGCTGTGATTGCCAGCCTGAGGTGGGTACATTTTGTTATCGTAGTTGGTGCAGAGATTCTTTCTGTGCTTTAAAACGTTTTATGCTTGCCTGTTGGTCAATCAAATCAATATAAATATATATGAGGAAAGCAATACATATGAAGCATTATTCCTTTCTTTCATAAGGTTTTATTTATTGTTTCATTGGTTTATACATAATGATGGGGGTTGACTCTCCTTGGCCAGGTTTTTGCATTAAACTGATTTCACTGTCTAAATATTGACTATTTTCTTCACAGTGATTTGGTACAAAAAATGACATTTTAAACAATAAGCTACTGTTTAAATTTACTGTTCAGATAAATCAGCCTTCCCCAAATGGTGCCAGTCAGCTGTGGGATTCCTAACTCTGATTGCCACTATTCAGCATAGCTAGTGGTTGGGGAAGAAACCAGCCAATCCATTTGGAAGGCACAGGTCTGGAAAAAGCTGAGTTAAATATTTGTAAAATGTCCAGCAAGGTTGCAGCTACAGCTGTAAGCTAACAAATACAGTAAGATGGTATAATTGTCATATTTAATATATAAGTTACCAATATTTTTATTGTTTTCAACAGATTTAACTTTCATTATATTACCTAACAAAAAATGGGAGTTCAAGGGCTTTGGAAGCTATTGGAATGCTCAGGAAGACCTGTAAATCCAGAAACATTGGAAGGAAAAATTATTGCTGTCGGTATCCTTAAAAAATTGAGCTTCGTTAGGAACTCTTTTATAGGTTACATGTATAATTGCTAATTTTTCTCTGGAATCAATAAATATTGAAAGCCGATATTTTATTTTCAGTCTTCTTGTTAATTTTGGCTGATGTACTAGTTTTACTATCTCAGGAAAACTAGTACATCAGCTAAAATTAACAGCACAATATTTTTTTTCCTAGCTACTTACACATGACATGGTGCCTAGCAGTCATGTTAATCTCGTAGTGTGAAATAGTTATGCTGGCTCTTCTGGGAGGTGTGGTCTCACATATCCAGAGGTGCCAAAATGAGGAAAACCATCTCAAACCTAAGGGAGCTATTATGGTATAAGCTTTCTGTAATAAAGTGTGTTTTGTAAAATGCTGGTTATGCAAGCATAAGTGATTGAAATGCTTGAAATAGATCACTGCTTGTTTGTATGTGTCACTTTTTCTGTTGTCTTCCTTTAAATGCTTTCTTAAGATATCAGTATTTGGTTGAATCAAGCTGTTAAAGGAGCAAGAGACCGCCATGGGAATTCCATCCATAATGCTCATCTCCTCACGTTATTTCACCGACTTTGCAAACTGCTCTTCTTTCGGATCCGCCCCATTTTTGTTTTTGATGGAGAAGCTCCTCTGCTGAAGAGGCAAACTTTGGTATGTTTGCCATAGCTACCCCATTCATAACTCCATTGAAGTAAGCCTTACTAAGTTCAGTGTGTGTTACTTTCAGATAAGCAAGTTTAGGGAAACCAGGGAGTAGGGGATTGAGCAAAGGTGGCAAGAACAGAATAGAGGAATACAAGAGACTGGAATTAAAATCCTATTTTTTAATGATTCAGACTGTTGCACTGATTCCCTCTGGCTCTT